AGTTTGAGGGGTTCTAACACTCGTTTCCACGAGTGAGTTAAATTCGCCTGAGAGAATTACAAAGCAGAGAATTTCCTTATCTTTACTGCTTAACTAAATTCACCAGCGTCAGTTCAGCAGATCGAAGATTTTGCTTGTACTTGCGTTTTACTTGGTTGACAGCTGAAAGCTGAGTTGACGTCGTTGACGCAGGCTTCCTGGATGTCTGTTGAGGGAACCCCGTTGCTGATTGGTCGGTTGCGGTGACGTCGGAATGACGTTCTTTTGGGAAACCCCTCGTTGGATTGGTTGGTTGCCGGGTTACGAAGAGCTTCAGCAGTCCTGCTAAAAGCCTGAGTTTGCAAGACTTTGAAGATCGTGTTTCTCTGAAGTGTTTGAGTTCTTAGATGGTCTCGCTTGTGCGATGGTACGGCATGGGCGCTTTGTCGCGCTCACCAAGGTGAAAGCCAAAGTTCTTTTGAGTGAGAGTGCGAGCCCGAGCGTAAGACAGCGCGAGAGGGCTTTGTGTCCAATTTTTAAGCAGGCTGACTTTTGTCCAGCCCACAGGTCGCTGTCCAATCAGATGGTGGCTTAGCCACGCCCCATACTGTTCCTTATCATGCATGAATCGCATGCTGTTTGTGGAGAGTATTTCTGCAAGTTTTAAATATCTTCTGATAACAGTATTATCACCAGAGAATGATACAAAATATAAACTTTTCACTAACACCAATGTTCGGCGAATAAGACAAGCTCTCATTCGAGCTCAAACAACAGGTATTTTGCATACACAGTAATCGTAATCACTAAAAGAAAAGTTATAAGGCCAAGATTGAGATATCATGGTTTCGATAAACACATCAAATATATATATACTGCTTAACACATACAGTGGATACATTTTCACTACTTATACGTTTTAAACGATTGTCTGTTAAAATCGCCATGCCAGGTTCTGTTTCCTTTGTTGTAACAAAAGGGATTTCAGTCAGGGCAGAAAGCAGATGTTCAATGGGTCATGCGACAGTCACGCTGTATAGATCTCGTGTTCGCGGGCCTGAGGGCATCAGTTAATTTACTCATCCTTTTCCTGCTGGATATACTAGTTCTATACATTCGCGATCACGAGGTATCCATATGTCGTGAAAGGGTTTTTTTAGTCCTGATACAAAAGATAGCTTTGTTGTCTCCTGATTGAATTAATTCGAAGCCTCATGATGGCTGATAGAGGCATATCCGTGTCCGTTCATGTACTAGAAATCCCTACACTCCCTATTAATTTTTTTTTCAAAGAGAGCTTAAAAATACTACAAACAGAACAGTCAAGAAAGGATTCTTGGAGTGCAGAGCTCAGTTGGGTGTTAAATTATTAAGTCTGTCCAGTGAGTTGGTCCAAGACAAGTGAGAACTGAAGCAAGAGGCCAGATTCTCCCTGTCTCTCTTTCGCTCATCTTTTTTTCCATCTGAGACTCATCAGAGAAGAACAAAACCTCCATTTATGTCCCCCGTCGAGGTGCACACTGCTAATGCACCATTATGAGGCACTCGCCTCACTCCACTCACGTCCTTTACCTGGGCTTTCAGGACTTTGCTGTAGCTCCGAGGACACTTTTTTCCTGTCTTACCCTGCACGGTGCACCCCGACCCCTGTCTTTTTTTTCTTGCTAATGTGTTCACTCACGTTCTCCTCACTCACGTGTTCACCTCTTCCTGGAGTTTTTGATGTGACGGCACAGGCTGCCGTTTCAATCACAGGAGTGGTTTTACAAATAAGGTAAATGAGTTAAAATTACACACAGCCTGAAGGATGGTCGGAGAGGCCTGTAAGCAGCACGGTCGATTTTTCCAGGCGTGCTCTGACTCTGTAAGTGTTTGAGGATGTTTTAAGTAGTGCTGAGGCAGTTCGACCATGCTAATGCTAATGACCTTCAGTCACTGTTACACATATAAATGCTGCATGATGGATGGACACGAAATGGCTTAGTGTTTTGAAAAACAGTGTTGTTAAATGTAGATTAGTCTGTTAGCTTAACCCTCAATTGTGCATTCATAAACAGAAATATAGTGTTCCGGCAAACTTCTAGTGATAAATTTGTTTATGTTTTAAATGCAAATGAGCGTTGTGGTATATTTTTGCAAACTGGATTGTGAAAAGTGGTCTCTTTATTATATCTCTATTTTTTATATTAATATAAACTACATTTTAAAATTAGATTTTACCCTTTACGTAATTGGATGTTGTAAATTTTGTTGTAAAGTGACCTTGAGCTTGAAAATGTGCTATATAAAGACTATTATTATAGTCACATTTTATTTCAATTCTATCAGAGCAAATAAAATATATATTTATAAATTGCTTTTATATTTTAATGCATTAAATTGATCAAAAATCACAGTAAATAAATTTGAATTATTACAAAAAAAATCTATTTCAAATAAATCAGCATATTATAAACATTTCTGAAGGATCATGTGACACTGAAGACTGGAGTAATCGCTTTGCAATCACAGTAAAAATATACTTTAAAATATACTAAAACAGAAAGCAGTTACTTTAAATTAGAATATTTCACAATATTAGAAGTCTATGTATGGTCTTTACATTGATATTTTTATTTATGTGTGATTCATATCTTGCAGTTCAATTAATCAAGAAGCAGGTAAAAATTGTTTTCTGCAATTTCAGTCGTGGCCCAATTATGATATAATGATGCATCGCAACATATTAAAGTGAATCATAACATATCATTATGTGTACAGATATCCCTCACATCCTTGTTTTCATTTGCTTCAAATTAAACAAGCAATCTGCTCTGGTTTATGGAGGCTGCTTCCTCTCAGGTTATTTGACAACTCGCTGCTTCACAACATGGACATTGATACATCAAGTTCTTCATGTTACATTAGCGCAGAGCCATTTCTCACCTCCCAGGGCATTAAAAACGGCCCTCACCCTCAGGCTAAAGTGCTCCCTCACCAAACAGAGCATCAGCGCCCACTTTTAACCTGCCAAGTGTGAGATACACACAGCCTCCGTGTCTCTCACAGCGTTCTTTCTCGCCCGTGGTGGGAAAGGTACTCAGCAGAAGAGCATGCTGATAATTTCAACCACCATGACTGAAGGAATTTGTTTCACTCAGTTTCTGTCCTCAAGTTTGCTGCTTCAATCTTGAAAGTATTGTCAAACAGTTCAGTAAACTGCCTCATTTATGCTTAAAAGCGCATTTAAAAGCAATTACTAATTTATTTCATCACAAAAATCGAGGATGCAACTGTTGGGTTTGCTTTTATCGCCTTTGGACGGTTGTCGAACATGCTTATGCTTCAGCGACAACAGCGTTCACACAGGGAAGACACTCGTGATGGTTTTTGATTTGCCGCGTGGTGCCCGTCAATTTATCAGTGCCCGGGTGGGATTCCTTATTCACGAGGAGATTGCTTTGGATATTCCAATAACAGCAAAGGAAATGTCAGCCGCTTCTTCCTCGTCATCTCTGCAGGCATCACTTTGTGCCCTTATCGCAGATTGATGGGGAAAACAGCCTCTCCTCTCAGCGTTGTCAATCAGAAGCTCCTATAAACATTACAGATTTGTCACCGCAGTCACGCAGCTGGACTCTGTGTCTGCACACAAATGTCAATGGTCAGTCTTCAGTGTTTTATCAAAATCATGGTGTGGCCCTCAAGGGTCCAAGATGGCAGGGTGTTTGTGCCCCCTAGAGGAACTTATTGGCATGACAAATTACTGCCGCATCAAAATCTGCTGTACTATTTAGCTTAGAGGTCCCCAACCACCGGGTCGTGACCCAGTATCGGGCCGTGGAAGAGTTGCTACTAGGTTGTAAGAACGTTCTGGGAAAAATGTGAATTGATATGACTGTCTGTTTTTTATTGCGCGTTAGCGATTGTTCTAATTATACTGTATTTTCGTTTGTTGTATGCGATTGCTATGGAGTAGCAATTTGACGATTTCATGTAAATTAAATGTTCAATTAGTAAATTAATGATTGTTCTGATCTGTCATAACGGATCGCAGTTGATCCGTGATACGTACGGACCAGGCCCCACAGTTCGGCACGCATGTGATTCGCAGATTAATTTGCCAATTTACACGTTCAAGCGATTTTAAGCACAAGAAGAAGAAGCGAAAGAGAACTCGATTCGTTACTCACGTTACACTGTTTTCAGTGTGCGCAGCAGCTGAAAATATATATTTATACATTTTTAAATACATATTTAAAAATATATATTTATAAAACATAT